CTATCTTTCTTTAAAAGTTTTCATTTTGGAGTTAAACTGTTAAGTGACTATATAATCAGTCAAATAGAAATATCACTTTCAAGGAATATAATGGCATAGCAAGACTGAAGATAAAGGAGTCCTTATGCACCATAAGTGGGAGTGTAAATTATTAGAACCACTGTGGCAGTCCTTGTGGTTTGGATCTGAAATGCCCACCAAAGTCTACTGTAATACGATGCTGGCCCCCAGCTGGGGGCACTACTGGGAGTTGGTGGAGGCCATAGGAGGTGGCGCTCTGTTAGATGAATGAAGTAGGTTATGACTTGGAAAGAAATATTGGGGTTCAAGCTCCTTCTTTTTTCTCTCCGGTTCAGGCCTCCATGAGGTGAGCAGCGGTGCTCCACTGTGCACTCTCCAGCATGATGTTCGGCCTCATGACTGACCAGGATCCACAGATCTTAAAAGAATGTCTAAATTGTTGGGCTTGGTGGCACACACCCATAATCCCAGCACTTGGGAGGCTGAGGCAGAATTGCCGCGAGTTTGAGGCCAACCTGGGCTACAAAGTAAGCTCAAGGCCAATCTGTACTGCATAGCCAAATCCTATCTCATTAAGACAAAAAACGAGGTTAAACTATTGTGAGTTGTGCTAATTATAATACAATTAACAAGTCGCAGACCAAAAAGACTTTCTCTTATGAAGAAGCAATTAATAGCACAAAACTTTCTTTTCAATGAACTAAGACAAACTAGTAGTATAAATGAAACAAACTAGCATATATATTAAAATATTTTTAATTACTTTGTTATGAAATTTTGTTTTATTTTTCCATACAAGAGCACTTTTTTGTATTTTCTTTATTAATATCTACTTGTATTACATTAAAGTAAAAAAGACATAACAGATCAAAATGACCATGGACTGTAACCTCTGAAGCCCTGAGACAGAATAAGTCTGTAAGTCATTCATCTCAGTTATTTTGTCACACCACTGAAACCAAATATTTAAAACTAGGACTATTGTCTGATCCACTCATCCCTCTCCTGAGTATACATCTAAAGGAAATGAATTACTGTGTCTATGAGTCATTTGCTCTCATGTGTTAATTTTAGTACTGTGCGCAATAGCTAGCATGGAAACAGCCTAAGCATTCATAGATGGATGAATAGATAAAAGAAAATGTGGAACACACATTTAATGGAATACTACTCAACCATGCAAAGGATGAAATATTTTTTTAAATTTATTTGGTATAGACTCTTACTGTGCAACTTGGACTCATAGTGATCCTCCTGTTTTCAGCCTCCCCAGCACTGTGATTACAGGTGTGCACCACCATGCTCAGTCTCGGAGTCTGGTTCAGTGCACCTGGGGGCAGGGCCAGCATAGAACATGGTGCCAGGGATCGAATACTGGTCCCTACGTTTGCCTAAACAGGCACTTAGTCCTCTGAACTATCTTGCTGGCCCTTATGAAATCCTATTCTTTGCGACAGCCAACATGGGTATAACTAAAAGGATTTATCTTAAGAGTAATAGGTACTGAAAGCAAACACTCCACATCTCATTCATATGTGAAATCTAAAAAATGTTGATCTCATAGAAAATGACGAAAAAGAAGGGTAAAAGCTCATCGTGAGTGCTAACTTTTAGTTCATTAGGAATAGGCAGTTCTGGTAGGCTATTGCACATTAGAGTGACTAGAGATAACAATGTCCTATATTTCATAATGCAATAGAAAGGGATTACTTTATAGTACTTTTTTTTCTTGTGGAACCTGGGATTGAACGCAGGACCTTGGGCTTGCCAGGCAAGCGCTTATTCCACTGAGCCATCTCCCCAGCCCAGATACTTTTTTTTTTTTACCATAAAGTAATACTGTTTGAGGAGACAGACATGTTTAACATGACTTGATTGTTATGCAATGTATAAATGCAGAAAATAAGTACAATTTCTTTGTGTTAATAATAAAAAGTGATAACTTCCAGACCAACAAGACCTGGCTATAACTTGGGTGAGAATTTCAACATATCTGAAAAATGTGTTAAGGAGCCACATAAGCATAGATAAGGGAGAAATTAAAACCAATATGGAAGAGCAAATCAGTCAATTATTTATCTCAATGTGTTACAGTTTCTCCATTTCAAAAATGGATTTAACGGGTTCCACCGATCCGCGGCCTAAGAGGCAGTCACTGCGCCCAGCCGGAATGGCATGATTCTGAAGCCCCACTTCCACAAGGACTGGCAGCGGCATGCGGCTACGTGGTTCAGTCAGCCAGCTCAGAGATCCGCAGGCGCAAGGCCCAGCAGGCCAAAGCGCGCCGCATCGCCCCGCGCCCGCGTCCCGCGTCCGGGCCCATCCGGCCCATCGTGCGCTGCCCCACCGTGCGCTACCACACCAAGGTCCGAGCCGGCAGGGGCTTCCGTCTGGAGGAGCTGCGGGTGGCCGGTATTCACAAGCAGGTGGCCCGGACCATTGGCATCTCGGTGAACCCAAGGCGGTGGAACAAATCCACCGAGTCCCTGCAGGCCAACGTGCAGCGGCTGAAAGAGTACTGCTCCAAGCTCATCCTCTTCCCCAGGAAGCCATCGGCCCCCAAAAAGGGAGACAGCTCTGCTGAACTCAAGTTGGCCGCCCAGCTGACAGGACCTGTGATGCCCATCAGGAATGTCTACAAGAAGGAGAAGCCAGGATCATCACGGAGGAAGAAAATAACTTCAAGGCACTTGCCAGTCTGAGCATGGCCCGCGCCAAAGTCCAGCTCTTTGGCATCCGGCCAAAGAGAGCCAAGGAAGCCACAGAGCAGGATGTTGAGAAGAAAAAATAAAACACTGTTGGGATCTTGTAATAAATGCTCAGAAAAGCCAAAAAAATGGATTTAACAATGGCATCTACTCAATAGAGTCATTTTATACAGCAGTATAGCACCTGGTATGCAAAGAAGCTCATATGTCATTAAAGAGAGGGAATGAGGTGGTCAGGCCAATATAAATGGTGTCACAGCTTTATTTCTCATTAGCAATCAGCATCCTGGTTTTCATACATCAGTTTCTTGTGAGACAGTCAGCATGAGTCAGCATCCTGAGTCTGACCAGTTCTGGGGCACTAAGTAGATCAAGTTTCTAAACTGCAAAACTAAGAGTGCAGTCTGGACTGAGTTTCTAAGCACGAAGGCAATGCCATCCAGCAAGGTATCTTGATAGCCAGCCAGGTACCTTTCCTAGTAACACCCCCTCTGGCTTCCCTAATCTAGTCACAATTCTAAACAACACAGGGTGAGGGGTCTATGTGGAAGGAATAAAAAAGCTAGAAAAATACATTAAAATGTTAACAAGTAGTTATGTGAAGGGGTTATAAGAGGTTTTAATATTTTGTTTTGCTTTGGTACTTTCCAAGATTTTTTAGTGAACATGTTTGCTTTAATATTTTATAAATATGTTTAAATGATGGAGAGGCGAAGAAAAAGAAGGCCTGTATTTGAAAGGCACAAGGGAATGGGAAAAAAGAATCAAGGTATATGATGCACAGGTACTAATTCCCTAGGATGAATGTGATCATTATGCATACCTAAATGTATTAATAAACTTAATCGAAAAATAAAGAGAAGCTATTAGGGAGTTGGGGGCAGAATAGGGATGATTTTTCCTCCAATGTCAACTCTCTTTCCTTGTGTATGGAGGCTTGTAAACGGCTTATAATTAGCCCTCATGGTGTTTACATAGGTAGTGACTGCGATGGAAAATATTTGACCTGTTAATTCTGTGTCACTGTATCTAACTGTATTGCTGACTAGCTGTTGAGCCTGAAAGTCCCAGGTTTGAGTTTTTGAGCATTCCTTCATTCTTCATCATCATTATTAGATATTTGTTAATCACCTTCCAAGGTGTCTGGCTATATACTAAATTCAGTGGCGGATGGGTGAGAAGGAGGGCGATTATAAGGCAGAAGAAAGTTAGAGAAATAAAACAAGAAAAAAATGCAAAATCATGTGGCTTGGGTGAAGTAGCTAGCAAAGGCTTAGAACTCTAAAGGTCAGTCTGTCTAATTCCCTTACCCTTTGGCGCAGAGAGCAGGCGGTACTTAAGACATCTTCAGACGCCTGCAGAGTTTGGACAAGCAGCAAAAGGGGGCTGTGGGGGAAGCACTGGGGCTCCATTGCCCCGCCAATTGCAGCCAGATTCTCCCGAAACCAGTGAGCCGCGTTACCTGTAGGTTTCTTTCCGAGCCTTCCAGTCTTCTTTTATTTTCAAATGACTTTTTGTTTCCTCAGCCTTGTGACTTCTGTGCGCCCGAGGGAGCGTTCCTAAGCTGTTACAAAATCTCCAGCCCTAGTCCTGCCAAGGCTGCTCTCAGGCTCCGCTTTTTCCCAGCCCAGTCCCTCGCCTGTGGCCCTTGCTTCCCCAAAGCGCTCCGCTGCTGCCCCCTGCGTCAGTGCCAAAGCCGCGGACTCACCGGTTCCTGAGGTATACAATATTTCACCTAAAGTACCTTCCTCGCTTGATTTCAATCGGAGTGCTAAGTTTAATTAGAGATTTTAGTCAAAACCTAAAGTACAGTAGACTTCCTGAGTTGTTTAATAATTTACTCGGGGACTGACCCCAACCAGGGTCTCCTGCCTGTTAGGGAAGTGTTCTACCATTGAGCTACACCTCCAGCCTTAGAGCTTGAAAATCCGATTGTTTCTGCGTTGAGCACAAATGCGTCTTTCGGTTCAGTTTTGAAGCTAACATAGGTTCCTAAAACTAGTCCCGAAGAAAAAGAAGCAATCTCCTCATCATCCTGTGTGTACAGCAAGTGGGAAAAATTAAAATAGTCACTTGAAGTGTTTCGAAAATAAACTTCTGAGAGTACATTGCCTACGGTGACACATTCTCCGCTGTGGGGGGTGGGAGGGCGCAGAGCCCCAGGGACGAAGCGCACAGCTGCCAGGACCCGCTGTGCCCGCCCCGCCTCCAGCTCGCGTCTCCCTCTGGGCGGAGGCGGGGCTGCGGCGAGGGACCCGCCTTCTGGGGCGGGCAGTAGGATCAGGGCCTTGGCAGTCTCCGGGAACCGGCGGGGACTGCCAAAGCCAGACGCAGAGGCCCCAGGGGGCTGAGAGAGAGACCGCGCGGCGGCGACGCAGGCGCTGTTCAGGGCTCCAGACTGCAGGAAGCCTGGCGGGTTTGAGGGGGAGCACCTCAGACGGCAGTTCCCGGGAGTGCTGCACAGGTCCCACCCGACCCTGGATCGAACGTTGAGGGGGATCTGCTGGGCCTGACGCTTGGGCTTCCACAGTGAGGGCAGCTGTCCTCGAACCTTGTTCCTGCGGGGCTGACATCTTTTCTTTAGCCCCCGGCGGTTTTCGGAAGGGCTTAGAAACGTGGCGCGATGAGGAGTCGGAGTAACTCAGGAGTCCGGCTGGATGGCTACGCTCGGCTTGTGCACCAAACCATACTGTGCCACCAGGTAATTGTAGGTGTGTGACCTGGGATGACCGAGGATGTGGGGTGTGGTATAATTGGCAGAGATTCTGGGTAAACCCGTGTGTGTGTGTGTGTGTGTGTGTGTGTGTGTGTGTGTAGCAAGTTCTCCTACCCCACAGGTGGGAAGACCATAAAAGAATCCTGAAGGAGAGATCAGTTCTGGGTCTAGAACCGAACCAGTCAAGCACGATTAGCCACGACCCTCTGAGGGATGTTTTGGAGTTCGCTGGCGCCAAAGCCACGCCTAGTTCGAGGGTCAGAGTTGCCACATGCGTTGATGCTTGACTTTCCGCAGAACCCAAGTCTAAGTCTCATCTCCTTCCTCTTCCCCGCTCGCCGCTGAAAAGAAACAGGCGAACTTTTAACCATCATAAGACTAGACTACTGGAAAGATCAAAGCATTTTATGTATACATTTTTTGTTGGGAATATGGCGCTGAGGATTTAACCCAGCTCCTCATACGTGCTAGGCAAGCGCTCTATCACTAAAGGACATCCCAACTCTTTTAATCTTACTTTTTATCTTACCTTATGTTGAAACAGAGTCTTGCTAAATTGCCCTGGCTGGCCGGAACTTGAAATCCCCCTACCTCAGCCTCCACCTCTGATTAGCACACTGCAGGCATGGCCACTGCTCTCTGATAGTCATACTTTTTTTAGAAATGAGGGACTGAACCCAGAGCCTTTATGCTGATCTACATCTTCACTCCTTTTTATTTATTTATTTATTTATTTATTTATTTATTTATTTTAATTTTGAGACATAGTCTCACTAAGTCTTTAGGTTGACCAGGCTGGGCTGGAACTTTCAGTCCTCTTCCCTTAGCCTTTCAGAATGCTTGGATTACAGAGGTTCACCAACCATGCTTTGGTGTGTATTCTTTTAATTATAGTTTTTCCTACTCCTTTACTGCTCATTTTTTATTGGTAGTTGATTCTAATCACAAAGTTAAAGCTTCTTTTAATAATACCCTAATAGGGGCTGGGGAGATGGCTCAGTAGAATAAGCACAAGGGCTTGAGTTCAATCCCTGGTTCCACCAAATTAATAATAATAATAATACCCTAATAATGATTTTATTGTAATAATACCCACATTTTGGACTTCGTAAAACTTTAGTCAGTTCTTTACCCATACACAAGCTAATATTTGGAAAGAATGCAAACTTTCCATTAACAGAGGAGTAGTTTCTGGGAATCTAATGAGCAGCAGAATGGTGACTATAATTAATAAAACTTTATTGTATAGCTGAAATTTGCTGAGAGTAAATATTAAGTATTCTTACCATACCAGAGAAAGGTAACTATATGTTGTGGTGGATATATTAATTAACCTAATAGTGTTATTTGATTCAATGTATATATATATATATATATATTATGCATCTTAAATATATGTATTTTATTGTCAATTATAGTTGTTCAGCAAAACTGGGGAAGTAGAGCTAACATTTGCCTGCAATTGGTGAGAAGAGCAGGTTATGAAACTTAGGACTAGAAAAGTAGAGGAAAAACCAAAGTTTCCAATAACCCATTCCATAGATTTTAATATTAATACTCTGTGGTGGTTACCTGCCTGTCCTCTTTTGTTTGGTCTTGCAGAATCCAGTGACCGGCTTGCTTCCAGCCAGCTATGATCAGAAAGATGCCTGGGTCAGAGATAATGTATACAGTGTCTTGGCCGTATGGGGTCTGGGTCTGGCCTATCGGAAGAATGCAGACCGAGATGAGGATAAGGCAAAGGCCTATGAACTGGAGCAGGTATTGAAAACAAAACTATAAAGAGATGTAGAGCTGTAGGTGGTTCAGCTGGAGGGAGCAGGGATTGAAGAAAATGTAGCTCTTTTTGCCTTTCTAAGTTGCATTCCAAAAAGTTTTCCTGTATTACTCTGAAATGTTTCTTTGCAGTGGAAACATGAAACTTGCTGATGCAGGGGAAGAGGGTGCAATCTGTTCCATTACCTTGGAAAATCCAGTCTTGGCATCTTTCCTAAGAATTAGTCACCCTCTTTCTAAGTAAATTTTTTGTGGTCTCCAATTCATTCTCATTGAGAAGAATGCTTGGGCAGCTATTTACTATTTTACTTTATTTAAAAAATAATTCATTTTATGAATGTAACTGAAGCAAATCAGCCAACTTTCCATATTAGACACAAAGGCGAGTTTTGCTGCTGGAACTGCTGCTTCTGAGAGTCAGTTATCTCCTCCCCTTCCCACCAGAGGCAAAATGAGGTCAGCAGACACAGTACCAGAAGCCCATTTTTATGGCCCTTCTCAGTCAAGGAGAATCCCTTTACAAATTGTTTAGACACCCGGAATATGGTATCCTCTGGAGTAATCAAGAAAAGGATCATCTAGGCTACAGCTACTTTTACAGCTGAGGCCCGCTGCTGTAAGGTGTGAGTTCTTTTTCATTAGTGAGAAAGATTCTTTCTAAACCATTTTTTTTTTTCATGTGATCTCCCTCGGACTTAGGCAATCTGAACTCCAGGCTTCATCTATAAATCAAAATATTCAAATTTGGGTGTTTTTGAGGGCACCAGCATTTTGTGGGTTGCTATTCTTCGTAGTGGGTCACATCTCACTGTGCTGTCCTTAGCATCAACAGACATTTGTTATTCTTTAAAGCTGTAACTGACTGTTTTTCTGTACCTTAGGAAATACAGATCAATATTTTTATGACTTTTCTAGAAATAAAAATATATAAGTGTAATGCCTGCAGCGCCCCCCCCATCTTACATCCTGCCCTGAGTGTGTTGCTAGGTATGGTTTCTTTGTTTTCGCTAGAAATCGATACCTACTACAATTTTTGTTGTTGTTGTTGTTTGGTTTGTTTGGTTTGGGTTGGGTTTTTTTTCTGTATTTAGGGCAGGTCTACAGGGTGTTCAGGGTCTCACTTCTAGATCGGATTCGTAGTGATCTGCTTGTTTACAGCCTCCCAAGAGCTGGGGCTACAGGTGTGCACCACTATGCCCAGTGTCATTTGCCCTCTCAGCGCACCCTCGCGGCAGGGCCAGCATGGCACGCCAGGAATCGAACCCCAGCCACTGCGCTCTGCTGAAGCAGACACTTTAGTCCACTGAGCTATCAGGCCAGCCCTCCTGATACAGTTTGGTCAATTTTTAAAAATATTGCTAGAAAAAGTGTATTTTCTCCCCATAGACCAGTTGTTATTCTGAAAAGTTAGCATTTTTGCTTATTTAACCTAAGTGGAAAGAATTTAACAGAAGAGGAAAACGTAGGGAAATCCTGAATTGTTCTTTCTAAAATTTTCATGTTCTGTTATATAACTTCTCATTTTACCAAAAAATATTTTTTAATTCACCCCAGTAGTAACTTCAGAATGTTTCAAAACCTTATGGAAATTGGAAACAACATCAAAAGAGATAACTTCCTGTGAAAATTCTTATGTTGCTATGAACTTGCATTATGGGTTAAAATGTATTTTTATATCAGATATCATTAATATTTTTAAAACCTCATTAGCCATTATTCTACACAAAGGGTCAGAAAGCCATCAGTGTAAAGAATAAATAGTAAATATTTTAAATATTATAAGTCACTTGTGTTCTCTGATCAATTACTCAGCTCTGTAGATGTCATACAAAAATGCTAGAGATGATGTGCAAACAGTGAGCATGGTTATATCCCAGCAAAGCTTTACCAAAACAGTGTTGAACTGGATTTGTCCCTGGTCTAGATGAGTGACTCTAAACTCTGGCTGTACATTGGGAATTACTTGAGAAACTATTCACAAACACCCTTACTGGGCCCCACTTTACAAAAATTTAAATATAAATCTCTGGAAATGGAACCCAGAGGCATGAAGTTTTTAAAATTACCCAGGTGATTCTAATGTACAGAGAGCTCTCCTGCACACAGACAGTGAGTGCTCTATAGCTGGTAAATGAACATACATTAAATCCAACAAATCCATAGATTGAATTTCCACTCACTGCCAACTTTGTCTCACTGTGTGGACCTTCACAAAACATTTATTATTATTCATTTATATCTTTCCCTTCAACTCTTGCTTTGGTTTTTCTCTGATAAATAATGTCGGATACCTGAAGAGAATTCTGGATAAAAATAAAACAACGGTGTAAGTGATTACCATAATTTAGATTGAGAAAAGAATTGTGCACATTGGGGCTGGGGAGATGGCTTAGTAGAATAAGCGCTTGCCTGGCAAGTGCAAGGACCTGAGTTCAATCCCCGGTACAAAAAAAAAAAAAAAAAAAAAAAGAATTATTCACATGTATGGTTTTACAAACTGCCCCTTTGCCCCAGGCAAGTAAACAAAGTCTCATGGTTATAAAAATTAGTCACACAAATCGAGATCCCTTTTTGGCTGCTGCCATTTCTACTTCTTGTTCTTTGAGTACAGTCTCTCGTATTTTATCATGAGTTTAACTATTACTTTTATGACAGTGACTTCCAAATTTTCATCTTTGACTCTGATCTGTTTCAAGCCCCAGGTTTCATTTTTCTTCTCATCACTTTTCCCGTACATACAGTGGCTTCTCAAACTCAGTGTGTCTGAAACCTCTTCTTCGCTAGTAAAAACAACAGAATAAATTACTGAACAGTTCACCACACATCCCTTTTCATTTTAATTGTGTCCTCATTCTACCCATCACCCTGGCAACACTAGTTGCAGTATTTTCTGTTGTGTGGAACGTTAGCACAACTAAGTTTGAAAACATGTTAAACAGAGATTTTTTAACTCTTTAATTTTTCAGAACTTTGCTATACAAAGATAATGTGTGTTTCAAACCTAAGGTGGGAGTGAATTGTATAGCCTTTCTAGAATTTCTTGTATTAGTGTTTATAAAACTGGTTTGATGTGTCTTGATACATATAGACAGAAGACTTGTTTTTCATAATTTCTCTTTAGTTCATCCCCTCCTTCCTTAGCCCTAATCTAAACCTTCATCACCTAATACTATTGTGAAAGCCACACTCCACTTCCAATATTATACCATACCACTGCCCTCCATTGTATCCCCACGTCCAACTGGTTGGTGTCATTATTGTTCCTGTAATAATCCTTTAATAAAGACACCTACTAAACAGATTGTATAAATACCTTCCATTGTATATCATACTTCCCAAAACTACCAGTATTTTATTCTTCATGGATTTTTTTTTTTCAGTACTGGGGATTGAACTCAGGACCTTGTTTTTGCAGGCAGGTGCTTCTGCCACTGAGCTGTATCCACGACCCCAGTATTTTGTGCTTATAAATCCCTGTAAATTAAACATTGTTCTCCCAAATTTACACACAGGGACTGAATTAGAGATGAACCTGGAATTTGGTGGTGCCATAACTAAAACCTAGATTATGTAACTTCAGATTCAGTCTTGTTTGGCTTTTTGCCTCCACAGAAGCTATGAACATTGCCACCACCAGATTCAGGGGCACTGTTTGTTCCATGATCCTGTTTCCTTCATAAACTAATATCATTCGTTGAAAGCCCAACACAGATCCACTTTTTCTATGGTTGTAATCTGTGCTTAATTGTACAATCATAACTTTCTCAGGCCTCCTTTCTTGGAGGATTATTCTAGATCACTTACAGTCCACACCATTTAACACATTCATGTTTGCATCTAACAGACTGCAATTTTCACGTGCCAGGCCTTATAATAGAAATAAAACAGAAAATGTGACCACATGTTTATGTGCAGCCCTCAAAGGTTTTCTTTGGTGCTATGGATTGAATCCAGGGCCTTCTACATGCTGAACATGTGCTTGTCACTGAGTTCCATGCCCAAACTTACCTTACACTTTTATTTTAGAAAATTTCAAACTTAACTCAAAAGTTGGAAGAACAGAAAAATGGACATATTTGCATATACTTCATTTAAATTCACTAGTTGTTAACATTTTGTCATATTTACAAATACCCTTCCACATACACACACATATACACATACCTAGATGATTTTTGATAAGCTGCTTGAGAGTTACTTGTAGCTATGAGTTTATTTTTTTAATCTGCTTAGTACATTGAGGTGTTACATTGAGTTAAATGTCTTTTTTATGAATCTGATTTCTGCTCCCCTTTTCCCAAGGAGTTCATAGTCTGATGAAGGGATAGATGTATAAACAAATAGTTATGAAACAGTAAGACAGTACTCTAGATATTATGTAATTGAAAACAAGTACAATATTAGTCAGCTTTCCTATTGCTGGTGAAAATACCTGACTCCTACTTTAAAAGAGCAGATGTGTATTTTGACTCACAGTTTCAGAGTGTTCAGTATGTGACTGGCTACATCCACTGCAGAAATACCATGGTGAAAGGCCATGGTAGAGCAAAGCTACTTAGTTTGTGGTGGTCAGGAAGCAGAGCACAGGGGAAGAGTACCAGCAAGGTCTATGCCCCCTAAAAGTACGGACCCACTGCCTAATAGTGCATTTACCTATCTAATGGGCCCTGATGGTCCAATCAATTCTTCAGGAATCTCTTAATCCACTCAAATTGGCAACTAAGGTTAACAACTGTGTTCTACATCTTGTTAAACTTGACACCCAAACACATCTTTAACCATAATTAATCTCAAATTATAGACAATAGCAAGGTCATAATTTCACCTAACATTATGTAACTATCATGGGTATAACCAAACCCACAATATCTCCTTCTATAGAGTCTCAAAAGTTCTAACGCATTGCTCAAAAATTCATGTCAGTGTCTCAAGGCAAACCCTTAGCATGAATTCCCTATAAAATGTAAAAAGTAAGTCACATATTC